GAGACAGATATATATATATATATAGCATGATGTAATCCACGTGTGTTCCTTAGATACATAACTCAATGAAAAAGACGATCAGATGTCGAAGACTTTGAACACAAATTTTATTCAAAACATGAATATTTCAACCCGTCCTCGGGTCTTCTTCAGCATGTGTGACAAACAAAATATAAGTTGGCTGTTACAATAATTATGATAAAAAGTAAAGTATAATATGTTTGGTCGACATTTTATTGGAATATCATGTAACATAACATGTAGTTTATTCAGATATGCCAGTAGGTACCGTGGATCGGTTCCATGCGTGTGCGTGCGTCTATATACACGACTGATTCACGTCACAACATCCCCCTCCTTTCAACAAGCTTTACAGTTAATTTGTTATCGCTTATATAGCAATACAACAAGCCCTAATCTTTAAACAGGATGTGTTAATTAATGCTTTAAACGTTGTTTAACTGATGCCTATTCATAGTCCATATTGTGATACTAAGATATTGAAACATTTTTTAATTTCATAATCACTAATGTTATAAACATTACTATCATTCTTAAAAACATTGTATCATATTGTGATTGTTAAAGTAATGAACTTTTTTCACTTCATAAACGTTAACTTCATAAACATTAATATAATTCATTAAAAAAAAAAAAACGTTGTTAAACATCATAAAACTTGAATGCGATTGTTGCACATTCCGGATATTGAATTACTACTTAATGACAATGTGTATATGGTTTTGTATCTATTTTGATTGAACATATAATGAAAACTTTCAGTATATTATTTTTAATGGTTATATGAATTGCCTGTCGTTGTATTGACTGTTCTCTGCTGTGATTATTGTGTTCATTGATTTGTTATTCGTCTCCGAATCGTGTTGGTTGGCGGCTTATTCGACCGGATCTGGTAATTGTGTTATACGTCGATCTTGTGCTTCTCGTGTTGGGATAGGCTGGGTTGTTGTGGTTATTATTTTTTGGTTTGGGTGGTTGTAGCTGTGTTGGATTTTCAGCAAAGTGTACGTGTCGGCGTACTGGTGTCGTATCATCGTCTTCATATTGTGATGTTGTATTGTTTGATTCTGGTGGTATGTCTCTTGTGTCAGTTGGGTTGTCGGTTACTGGTGGTGTATTCCTGGTGTTGGTTGTGATATCAGATTCTGGTACGTCTCTGATTTCGGATCTATTCCTCCTCCACGTTGATCCATTGTGTGTAGTAACCACGTATGACCTTGGGTCTTTGCAAACATTTGTTATTTCTGCAGGGATCCAAATGTTGTCATCAGGGCGTCTGACTCGCACCTTTTGACCTTTGTGAAGTGGTTTTAGTTCAGCTCCAGCATGCTTGTCATGGTATTGTTTCATTTCCTGCTGTCTTGATATAAGCTTATCATGCACTTCTGTCCTTTGGTGGATTCTTGCCAAGTGATGACTTGGAAGCGTTGTTCTCACCAGTCGACCAAACATCATTTTTGCAGGTGATGAGAGGCCGGGTCCTATCGGGGTTGCCCGGAGATGTAATAAGGCAACTTGTATGCTTTGCCTAGTCTGCGTGCATTTCTTGATCAAAGATTTCAATGTTCTAACTGTGCGCTCTGCCAGTCCATTTGAGCGGGGATATCTTGGAGAAGAGGTAGTGTGTTTCACTCCCCAATTTCTGCACATTTCTTTGAAGGGTTGGCCGCTGTACTGTGGACCGTTGTCCGAAACGATTTCTGCCGGTGCTCCAAAAAGGCTCATTGTTCCGCTCACAATACGTGCAATAGTGGTGCTTGACGTATTGTTTAACTTATGGACAATAGGATATTTGGAATAGTAGTCCGTTATTACTATGTAGTCATCTTTACCAATTGAGAACAAATCAGTAAGTAGAGAGCTTGGTCCAGGGCGTTGTTGGGATGTCGTGTGGCTCCAATGGTTCTTTGTGCTGTGAAGGCTGGTGCTCTTGACATGGCTGGCACAACTTTATTGCTCTTTCGATGTCTTTATCGATTCATTAGGTCAGTATTGAGTGTGTCTTCAATATCGTCAACCTGGAGCTCGATCGGTACATCTTGTGTTTTGCTTGGGTTTGGCAGTCTGCTTAGGGTGTCCGATAATACCATTAAGCTTCTTGGCTTATATTTGATAGTGCAGTCATATCCTTGTATTTTGATAAGTAGTCTCTGTAGGCGTGGAGGTGCACTTGTAAGTGGCTTCTTCCAGATCATCTCTATGGCTTATGATCGGTTTCCACCAAGAATTCTTTTCCAAACAGATATGTATGGAATCTGTTGATGCCAAATACGAGAGCAAGTGTCTCGCGTTCTCTGTTAGAATAGTTTGCTTGTGCTGGTGAGAGACTTTTCGATGCAAATGCGACTGCTTTGCCGTCTTGTAGAATACAGGCTCCAAGGCCCTTCTGGGATGCGTCTACTTCTAAGATAGTTGCTTTGTTTGAATTGTAGTACTGCAGACAAGCTTAAGCTTCTGCTGTGATTGCCTTCTTTATCTCGTCTAAAGCGTGTTGGTGATCTTCGTGCCACAAGAATGGTGTGTCTTTTTTCAGAAGATCTCTCAGTGGCGATGCTTTCTCTGAAAAGTTCGGAATATATGCCGATAGGAAGTTTAATAGTCCAAGGCATCTCTGAAGATCGTCTTTGTCTCGTGGAACAGGTATAGCATGAACATCTTCGATTTTTCTTGGATTATCAGGAGATATCCCGTCTCTGGAGTAAATGTATCCAAAGAAGTTGATATGATCAGTTTTTATTGTACACTTCTTACTGTTTAAGACGTCTGGCTGTCTCTAGAAGGTTGTGTAGGTTCCTGTCATGCTCTTTCTCGGAGCGACCGATCGCTGCGATGTCGTCTGCGATGCAGACACAGCCATCCATCTGATTGATTATTCGATCCATATGTTGTTGAAACACATCTTGGCTCACAGATAGACCCAATGGCAGCCGTTGGAAACAGTATCTTCCAAATGGCGTTCGGAACGTGGTTAGTTCCTGTAATTTCTTTGCAAGGTGGACAGACAAATGCTGGGTTTAGCTCCTCTAGTGTCGGCAATTTGTGGGGGCATCTCTTCAGGTTTTGGTTCAGTCGTTTAGGATCAATGTATATCCTGATTGATCCGTCTTTCTTAAGCACACTCGTTATGGAACTGCACCAGTCTGTGTGATGTTGTATTTTTCGAATGATACCTTGTTTTTCCATTTCATCTAGCTCTTTCTTCATTTTCTGCTTGATGTGCACGCTGCATTTTCGAGGAGCATCTATTGATGGGTTTGCGTCCTCTTTGAGATGTAGAACTGCTTCGCCTCTGAAGCTTCCTATTTTGTCGAACTGCTGTGGGTACAGTTGTTTTAGATCCTTCACTGAGTGAATAGGACTGCTGTTTGTTTTTATTTCATTGATTGTTACTACCTTCAGTGTCTCGCACAATGGCAGACCGGCAATAGCTGGGCCATTGACATCTACTATATAGAATGTCTGTTTGGACCAATCCGAGGTTTTATACCTGCATAACATCTGTATCGTCCCTATACACTGTATATCTGACCCGTTGTAGGCAGTTAGTCTGGCAGTTGTTGGTTTTAGTGCAGCATTCCAGTTGTCTTTGTACATTAGTTTGAGAGTACGTAGAGGTAGAGTGTTCCCGCTTGATCCCGTGTCTATTTTCAGGTGTAATCGGTGACTCCCTGTCTTATTTGGGCATATGATATCGATCATCGTATAAGCCTCTGTTACTCCAATTGAGTGAATGACATTGTTCTGCTGGGTTGCTTCCTTAGCTACTTCAATTGAGTGAAAGATTTCATCACCTGAGGTTTCTGCTTCATCGTCATGATCATATTGAGTATCATTAGTCATCTCGTTAACTGAATGTTTGCGATGGTACTGCTTGCGGTTACCGGATCTTCCTCTGTGTCTAGAGGGTGTTCGATTTCGTCTATGTGGCTGGTGATTGTGCTTGTTTCTCCCATCTCGGGTGAACCTTGACTTTCGGCATACATTCGCCCAATGTCCTTTAGTCCCACATTTCTTGCACGTGTCGTAATAAGCAGGGCACTTCCGTGGTGGATGTGTACTGCCACAGTTTCCACATGACGTCTTTCTTGGATTTTTTGGTTTAGATATGGCGTTGACTGTGTGTGAGCTCAGTGTTTGTAGGCATTATTTCCAGCAGCTATGGCTTCATATTTGCGTCCATCTTCGAGGAGTTGCTCGATTTGGTGACCTTTGGCTTTCTCGAGCAGATCTTTCTGGAATGATTCTATTTTGGTTGTCGCGATGACCAGTTCATTAAGCGTTCAGACAGCTCATCGTCTGTAAAGTCACACTCCTTTGCTTTACTGCGACACCTGTTTACAAACTCAAACAAACAGTACACAATATTGTCGTTAAACTGTCGTACAGCTGTATTTCAAGCATAAATGGTTTAAGGAGAATAATAATTAGTAAAAACATACAGTACTGTATTTTCAGACCCTTTCCGAAATCCTTACTGAAAATTGTAAGTTCGGCAGTGTTTGCATCCTGTATTGAGTACTGTATACGAAAAAATTTTTAACAGTTTTAAAAATAGTAAATTATTAGGTTGTATTTACCACATATCAATCCATGAAATTATTTTTTTTGGACAGACGTTATAAAAGTTAGGACAAACAAACCCGTAAAACCAATGACTAATTATTGGCGAGAGGTGATCGTAAAAGTAATAAAATATTTACAACTGAATTTTCAATTAAAAAGCAAACTTTACAGTATAACTGGAGTACATAAATTTATTAAACGAAATTCAGATTTTCCATTTTTTAGCTTTATTTGCTCTACACAGAATATTTTAAAAGTGAGATTGTAGTAAGAAAATCATGGGATTTGAACCCAGGACCTGAAATAATAGAAAACAAATAAAAATTCTCCACTTTTTAATTCATTTTAAATTTTACGAGGGCAAAATATTATATTAGTAGCAATATTTTACAAAGTACAGATCAACATTGTATGTTGGTGTTTTTTTTAATTTTTTTATCAGAGCAGTGACACTATTTAATTTAGAGTAAAATAAACAGTATTTATACAGTATCAGTTAACATGACTGTAATGTTCATACTTGCATAACCTCGAGTATGTATTTGTTTGTTTATTAAATATTTATTAATGAAAGCATAATTTATTATGTTTTAAACATTGTTATCATAAGGCTAGAGGAGTCAAATATAATCATCAATTTAACGTATTTTAGTTCTTTCAATTAATGCCGATCAAAAATGTGATTTTTCCCCCAATAATTTACTAAAACATGTGTACTGCAGTGATACTTATTTAGAAACCGTCACTTAATTTTTATTTATGTTTTTAATATATTAAAAGGGCTGCAGGCTTATTGAGGCCTTGGGGCATGAAAGTAAAGTATGTTAGTCACATGAGTAAACTCTAGTTTGACTGCAAGAAAAGTAAATGCTTTTATATTTTAGCATATAAATGTCCGGTATATATAGAGAGAGTTGAATAATGTTTAGCTAATTATTTGAAATTATTCACCAATTTATTAAAAACAAGCCCGGACAGTTAAATCAATAGCAATAATTTTCCTTTATTTGTTTATCATACAAAGTAATAATTTCTATAAATTTTCTAGACAGGCCTGTCCTCACTGCCTCAACAACTGTAAAATATTGTATATGTAACTAAAGATTCAAGAACATTGTCTGTATAAGTTATAAGTTAAAAAAACATTTACAATAACACAATTACGTGCTCAAAGCCGGCCAAAAATAGTCTTAAGAATAGACATCAAACACTAAAAGGAGAATAATAACATGAAGAAATTTAAAAGATTAAATAATAATATTGTAGTGTAAATTTGTATATTATTTCTTGTTTATATTCAGCATCTATTCCAGTTCTTACTGTATTTGGTTTTACTTCCGTTGCTGAGTGTACCTAATGGTAAGTTGAGGCATGGAGGAAATATATTAAGATTATATATATTAAAATATTAATATATTTTCTTCATGGTTGAGGTAAATATGTAGAGATTGCATATTATTTAACATATTTCTTTCGCTATCATATTATTCATATAATAAATTTCCTGTTTATCAAATATTCATACTCATGACAAGAACATGAAATATTGCCAGCATCTAATTCTGTATGGCCTTTTCACTTTAATGTCAGTGTAGGCCCTTTATGGCCAAGAAGGTATTGTAAAATTTGTATGATATTGAATTAAGGTAACTCCTTAAATTGACATGGTCATTGGCAGCGTTCGATTTCCAGCATTTTTTGTGTGTAGCAAAAACTGCTATGCACTTTTTGTTTTGTGTAGCAATTCCAAAATTGTGTATAGCATATTTTCTGCGGTGGCAATGAATAATAATAAAATATGAATAATATGAATATATTATTATATATATATATATATATATATATATATAAAATAATGAATAAAGAAGTGACACCTTTTAATAGGAAAATCACAGTGATGCGTCTTTAATTTTCAACAAAAGTATTTAAGTAAAACATTAGCTCATGTCGTAACCTGGTGTGTGTGTGTGCACTCGATGTAAACAAGACTATTGCGCTATTTTATCGGGACTTTTTTGTGCACCAAGCCTCTTACCTATTCCGGAGTATAAGCCGCACTTGTGTATAAGCCGCATCCTTATTTATCAAGTGAAATATGGCAATTTTTTGTGTCACCTGTTTATGCCGCAATAAACAAACAATAACAAACTATTTTTTGGCAGTTCGGTCCTTGAAGTCACGTGTGAGCTTCATTTACGATGTTGCAACAAAACACACGTGTGGTTTTCTTTCTTTCTTTCTTTCTTTCTTGTTTATCCTGGGGGACTGCTCAGGGATAAAATTTGAAGAGGGGGATTTACCATAAAAAAAGGGGGTTTGCTAGAAAAGTGGGGTTCTCCTGAACCATAAAAAATCCCCCAGGATACGGGCCTGGTTATTGAGCTAAAATATTGGTAATTCTAGGCTTAAGTCATTACTTCTCACTGTGCGAAGCATGCAGCATCACGCACCACGTTTTATAAACAAAAACAGAACTGGAGAAAATTCATGCGATACAAAGTTTAAGCAGGCAGATGACGTATGCCTTTCTACAGTTAAATTTTAGTAAAATAAATTATTACAATTTTTTCATTCATTTTAATTCTAAAATCATAACACTGCATTAAGCAATAGCAGTATAATTTTTCCATAATGGTACTAGCCACCGGGAACCAGACGTCGAACAGCAAGTTTCAACCACCAGCAACTACACGTGTGTTTTGTTGCAACATCGTAAATGAAGCTCACACGTGACTTCAAGGACCGAACTACCAAAAAATAGTTTGTTATTGTTTTGAGCGAAGCGGGTTCAAACAGAAACGATGTGTTCTAAAATTGTTTATGAATGAACGTAGTATGAAAATAATTATTTAGACAACCCAAACCATTGCTTGAATGTCGTTGAAAATGTAGTAGGAATCCTAGTACAGCACTGTAGTGAGTATAATTACAAATACAGTAAATACTACAGTAGGCCTACAAACCGGTCCTGCTACCCTAAGCTAATACTGTAATATGAATAATATTGGGCCAGCCTAGGCCTAACCTAGACAGGAGGCGCCTGATTTTCGCGATCTGCAAATTTTTTAGAGCAGGTTATGACTCGTGTATAGACCGTATCCCTAATTTCGGGGGAAAAATCGCATGTAAAATTCGCGGCTTATCGGATTGATTTATACAGAGTTTTGACAGCCAGGCGTTGCTGAAGACTGACCGGGTATTTCTAGGCAAATAATTGTATCGCATTTTATTGTGATGCATTTGTCGCATTTTACGATGCGACTGGGTAAATCGGACGCTAGTCATTGGTCAATTTTGGTGTCACATTTTTCATTTGTAATACAACTGAAGCAATTCTATAAAGTCAGTAAGTAAATCCATACCAAGTAGATACATTTTAAGAATTCAAATTTGTGATGATCATAGTTTTTCCAAGACCAAAATTTCCATAAATTATAAGAATATCCATCTCAATGTGGAATACAACTAAATCGTTATTAATGTAAAGAAGTAAGTCTTTATATTATTTAATCACAAAAATAATTAACAACTTGATGTATATGATATATTTTAATTATGTAAAAAAAAATTATATTGACATACCTCTTTGAAAACAAATTGTGCAAAATATGATGGTTGAAATAAAGGTTGGATGCACCCACGAAAGACAAAAAAAAACAAAACTTGATGTTTGATATTTACTGTACAGTAATTCTTTCTTTTTGTTTAAGTTTAACATATTGTGCGGTAGCAAGTTATATCCTTACTTACAATTACATAATTATAATAATGAAAGTGTTTTTGTGTGTTTTTTAAAAAGTATATAGCCAGTCAGTTGTAACAGTTGATGTAGTGGCCAAAGAAGGTGATGGTGAAGTGGTGATACCGTGCGACTATTCACAAGTTACTTATGCACCTTTGGCTATCATATGGAAGGAAGTAAATTACACTGGAGAAGCTAGTATTGTAAATAATAAAGACACTGTAAGTGGACGTTACAGCTTAAGAACAACTCCTGGGAATGCTGACCTGGTTATCACAAAGCCAGTTAGGAGTGATACTCAGAAAAGGTTTCAATGTCAGATACTGACAACAAGCGGGGGCTCCATAAATTCAGATCTTTCCATCCTCTCCGTATATTGTAAGTATTGCAGATTATATCTCAACATTTACATTCTGTATTGATTACATTTCTGAAAAATCGTACTGTAATCGAGCAAAATAACTAATTCAACACCAAATAGATTCAAAATAGATGTATTTATCACTTCAATAGTAGAAAGTAAACTCATTCAGATCACCTATTTCCATATTTGAAGTCATCAAATCAATCATATCAATTGGTGTGGGCCATTTTGACCACATAACAAAACATTTTTAATACTGGGCGTGTGTAAGAAAAACAAATATAAACAGATTTAGCATGCTGCAAAAGATGTGTTTGGCGATTTCATTATCCGAAAAGGGTATATAAAAATGAACTTCTTTAAACGATCAAACATTAGTGAAACACTAATAAAAATACATTACCAATTTATGCATAACACTGTAGAAATAAGATGTCCACTTCCAAGCACATTCATTTATAATGAAATTTAGCAAGGCTTTGATACAACAGGATACCATTATTTCTTCAGTTCAGAAAATGGAATACGCCAATTCCCTTGGCCAGCTTTGAGCCCGGGCAGTTTTTGATCTTGAATGCTTTTGATAGAACTAAAAAAATGACGGAAGAAAATTTTATTCAATTAGGTTAATTTTCATTTATAAATCATCAATAAATGAACAAGAACATTTTCTTTCTGTTGCTGCTTCAATCTAAGCGATCGAATTAGTGCAGGAAGAGTTATGACGTAAAACAACCCCTCATAAGCCATTGTTATGGCCTATAATTCAACCTAAAAATGGCGGGGCCAAATATTTGAAAACAAATATTTTGTAAATTATTTGCAATAGCTATATACAGTATTTATAACCGTCTATAAACTGTTTCTACATAATTTATCTGACCTCTAGTTTCAGAGTTATGGGTTTGTATTAAAATCAAAAGAAGCGCTAATGGTTAAGAGATAGGTTGATTTTCAAGGCAGTGCTTTTGCAATAAAGTAGATTAAACAGATTGATATGTTTGGTTAAAATCTGACTTGTAGAAGTAATTTGGATATTTGTAAAGTAAAATTGTTGTTGTGATAATGACAGAATTATAGTAGTATTACTCTTGTTACAGTTTACAAAGCATAAAGCAACAAAATTGTATGCTGGTTTTTGAAAAAAAAAATAATAAAAAAAAAACATTATTGAAATGCTCTACGGATCCACCAATATAATCAAATCATATTGTTAATTTGGAGCAGTAAAATCGAAAATTATAGTAAACAAAGTGATACATTTGATAGATATACTTTTGTTTTTAAATTATTATCAATTAAATCACACCTTATACTCGTACAGTATTTGTTTTAAAGTGTTTATTTGAGTACTATAATTTGTATCAGACCTTGATGCGCCTGTACTGTCTGCCTCAGTAAGCAGTGTCTATGAATGTAAACCAGTGACCTTGACCTGTAGTAAACCTGATGGTGACCCGCACCCTAGTATCACATGGTATAAAGATGGACAAGCACTCAGCATCACAGACAGCTCTAGATTTACTACAAGTGAAGATGCTCTTGAAATACACATTAAAGCTGCAACTGCAGCTGATGGTGGCAGGTATACATGTAAAGCTGAAAGTGATCAATTCAGAGGAAAAGATGGCAAAACCAGTAATCAAATTGACTTGAAAGTAATATGTATGTGTATATTTTGATTTTACTGTATACTTTATAAGACCTATCATCCACGCTTTGTTTATTCCTGGTCTTTTCCAACCAGTCATTCTGTTTATTTTGTTTATCTTGCCTCATTAAATGATTTGAAGCTTTTCCCGTGTGTTTTTTTTTTCCACTTCATTCACCCGATGAAGCTATATAGCTAGCGAAAGCTTGTGTTTCAATAAATTTCGTTAGTCTAAAGAAGGTGCTAGTGTACTTATTTCATTTGTATTTTAATATTTTCTTCATATTGTAATGTATTTTTAATGACCGAGATTCTCATATAATTGTTAAGTTTATGTTGTAGGTAAAATTCCTATCAGTTCATGGTCCACATGTTTACATCCTTTAACTAATCGACTTCAGGGGTTAAAATTAAATGAAAATATAAAACATCTTATCTCAAATTTATGGTTAATAATGTAATAAACTTAAATTATTTCAACATTATGGTTTATAATAGCAAAAAAATCAAATAATTTCACATTATGGTTAATAATCCAATGCATTCCCTAAGTGTTTTAGTTTCAGTATGTTATCTTTTGTTCAGGTATGTGTATACTTGTTCGTAAGCAGTAAATATCCATAGAGCTAGTATAAACAATCAATTTCATTGGTTTAAGGGCAAACTGTATTTCACAACTGCCTCTGTAGTTTATTGATAAGCCTTATTGTTAGCAACCTGGCACTAGGCCTATCATATCTTGGTGGTTGTACATGGAGCCTTAAGATAATACTGATATTTAAAGAGTGGTGCCGTATCCCTCTTTTTCACCGTTTTTTTTTTTACTGCGGTATGGTGCATTTGTCACGCTTAGGTATCAAGCCCAGTGGGCACAACTTGGTTGAAATAACGTTGATTCAACGTAATATGCAAACATTGAATCTACGTTTAATTTTTGTTGTATATGAAAGTTTGCATCAACGTAAATCTCAACGTTGATACAACGTAAAATGTCTAAGGTTTTTTCAACGCTAATTTTTCAACGTTGGAACAACGTCAAATGACCAATGTTGAACTAACATTGAATTTTGGTTGTATATGAAAGTTTTCATCAACGTAAATTTCAACGTTGATTCAACGTCAAATGCCTAAAGTTGTTTCAATGTCAATGTTTAACGTTAAAACAACGTCAAATGATCAATGTTATATCAGTGTTGAGTTTTAGTTGAATATGAAAGTTTTCATCAACGTAAATTTCAACGTTGATTCAACGTAAAATGTCTAAAGCTGTTTCAACATCAATTATTTAACGTTATAATAACGTCAAATGATCAATGTTGAATTTTGGTTGTGAATGAAAGTTTGCATCAACGTAAATTTCAACGTCGATTCAATGTAGTATGTTCAATGTTAATTCAATGTAAAATGTTCAATGTTGAGTCAATGTCAAAGTTTAATCCTTTAAACTTACAAAATACACTGAGTTCAAAATATACTTGACCATTTTTCTTTAATTGAAACTTGCAGAAAACATAAAATAGTATGCATTGTACTATACAGGCATGTTTAAATCAATAATATAACAACAGCTACTATGTCTAGATTTCAAAATATACCTATGCATTACTGTCGTCTTAACTGACCTAATATTGCACACTTAGCTTAATTAAGAATCTTTCGCGTTACAGGATTCGGATTAAATCAGTAACTTTCTTGGTGATAAAATATTTGAAGCTCTACTCCTTAGCCAGGTCTTTTCTTGTCCGACCAGAGGTATTGAAGCAAGGTATCCAAGAACCTTTGTGAAAGATAAAAACAAAACAAAAATATTTGAAACAAAGACTGAAATATTATTTTTAAGTTAATTGTATGGTAAATTTTAAAAATATAAATACTATACTACATGTAGTATAATTTTAAAAATGTAAATACTATCTACATGTAGATAGTTGAAACAACTGTTCTTCCCAGTGCAATCTACATTGACATACTGCAAGCATTACCAATAATGATGCAAATACTGAAAAAATATTCACTATGAACTACAGTACTGCAAACATGGACAGTTAGATATTTCTGTATAGAGAGTGGCACTTAACCTAATACACATATTCATTCAGTTTTATTACTTTTGATATGCACAATATTAAATTGAATGTTGTGAGAGTACAGTAATTGCCTAGGTTTATAATGGGCTTAAACTAAAACAATTTAACATTTTGCTAAATAATTAGGAACACCACCAAACAACATGTATGGATAGAGAACAAAAGTAAGTTTGAAAAAACTTATTGAAAGGCACATCTTTCAATATAGAATGTGGTTTTTTTTCAAAGATTTAAATACATTTTTCTCTAAGGGCAACTCTCTAGTGGTATTAGCAAATGTGCAGTATATTCTTGTAAAATTTAACAATAAAAATTATATACCTTTTTACAGCTTCATCATGGCTGCTCTTCCATCAGTTTTGTACCAGGAGACAAATAAATACACATTCAATAGTCAGTTTCTTCCCAGTGTCTACCACAAACAATATATTGCAACAAACATGGCTTCCTGTCAATGGATTGAAAACCTGAAAGAAATACCATATTATTTATAGAATAGGCCTATACACACAACTAAATTAGCCCATATCTATTTTTATATTTCTATTATTTATAACACTAACCATCAAAATATATAGGCCTATTGTTAATTTTTCTCTTTATTGACAAAATATAAAAATTTACATTATTAACATTTTCAAAAAAATAAAAGAAGAAAATGATTACTGATGGCATGACAGTGATGAGGCTATTATACCACTGGCAGTATGTAGGCCCATGATATAAGATGAATTATTAAACACACATAATAGGCCTAGGCCTAGCTGTTTTATTTTTGAACTTTGTCCATGCAACCACATTTTAACAATATATTTAATTTAATATAGACCCTATTTAGGGTTAGGGTTAGTAGCATTTCAACACAGGACGTGGCCATTTTGCAAAGAAAAGTCTAGGCCTAGGCGATTAAAAATTACCGCTAATAATTTAAACTTAGCCCACACATCCAACTTGCAGTGTAGCCCGAACAAGTAAAATTATGCTAACTATGCCCTTACACTACCCTACAGTACTCTAGTCTAGGCCTAGTCTCTTCTACTAGCTAGGGCCAGAGGGCTGACTGGCCTAAATCTTAGCAGAACAAAAGATAACCACATAATAATATAAAGCAAGCCTATACAGTTACGATATTGGGCTAGCCTAGATACACCCTGTAATATAGTATACAAATATAGAGTTCTTACCATTTATTTGATAATGCTGAAATTCTTTAGTATGTAAACTGTGTATGAAGACAGCTTTACAGCAACTGATACATACTTCAAAACATGAGCACTTGTTTCTAATTGGTCTGTACCTAATGACCTAATCCGATTAGCCCATTACTTGCCACACTTTCAAGGACAGAGAACCAATGTAATTACCATAATGATATAAAGATCATATGCTCTCATAATAGGCCTATGAGTTTTTTTATACCCCACCATGGAGGTAAACTTTAATAAATCTTGTACAATTATTTCTATGAAATTTCATATCAAGTTGAGATTGAGTTAAAGAAATTTAAACTTGTTGAAAAAAAATAACATTCTAAATGTTGATTATACGTTAAAATACAAACTACATTTTAATTTGACATTGAAAAGATGTTAAACTTTATGTTATTACTGTGATTTTAATATCTCAACCAGTTTTCAACGTTTTTATTGTTGAAATAATGTTGAGTAAATAATGGGTAGGCCTACTTTCAATGTTGATTCTACATTGAAATAAAAACTATATTTAAAGTTAACGTTGGAAAAATATTGATTAAATATATTGCAATTGTTATGTTAAAATCGCACCCCGATTTCAAAGTGAATTTATTGTTGAAATAAAGTTTGGTAAAATCTTAAACTCCGGGTTGAAAACACAACTTATTTTAAATGTTGCTTATACGTTATAATAAAAACTATATTTCAACTTGACATTAAAAATATGTTGAACTAATGTTGTTACTGAAATTTTAATATCTCAACCAGTTTTCAACATTTATTTATTGTTGAAACAACAGTGGGTAAATAATGGGTGCTTTGTAGAAACACAACACATTTTCAACGATGATTAACATTTGAAATAAAGGCTAGGCCTATATTTAAATTTAGCGTTGGAAAGATGTTGAATAAACAATGCAATTGTTATGTTAAAATGTCAACCAGATATAAAAGTGAATTCAATGTTAAAATAACGTTGAGTAAAAAACTATATATTTTCAACATTTATTTAACGTTGAGAAAACGTTAAATAAACAATAGGTCTTTGGTTGAAAACATAACACGTTTTCAACGTTGATTCTACATCGAAATGCAATTTTATGAAAAAACATACGGTAACATTAAACGTTGATTATACATTAAAATACAAACTATATTTTAACATTACATTGAAAAGATGTTGAACTAATGTTGTTACTGTAATTTTAATATCCAAACCAGTTTTCAATGTTATTGTTGAAATAACTTTGAGTTAAAGTAATGGATATATTGTAAAAAAGAAAACAACACATTTTCAACGTTGATTCTACATTGAAATAACAATTATATTTAGACTTAACAATGTATTGTTATGTTAAAATTTCAACCAGATTTCAAAGTGAATTCAGTGTTGAATTAAAGTGGAGTAAAAACTATATTTTAACTTGACACTGAAAAAACATTTAATCTATGTTGATAGTGTAACTTTAAAATCTCAACATATTTGCAATGTTTATTTAACGTTAAAAAAATGTTCAATAAACAATAGGATTGTGGTTAAAAAATTATCACTTTTTCAACATTGATTCCACATTACAATGCAAACTATAATTTAACTTGGTGTTGTAAAAATGTTGAACTTACGTTGTTACTATAACATTAAAATCTCAACATATTTTTAACGTAGAAAAAACGTTGAATGAACAGTGGTTTTTGACAGAAAAACATAACATAGTTTAAACATTGATTATATGTAAAATACAAACTATATTTTAACCATTTAAAAGATGTTGAACTAATGTTGTTAATGTAATTTCAATATCTAAACCATTTTTCAACGTTTATTTATTGTTGAAATAACGTTATGTATGTTTTGAGAATAGGGACCTCTTGAAGTTCCCGGAAATCGCACTCTTATGCCTTAAAAAATCATACAGGTACTATGAATCGAGGGCCGAAATCCCCGCCAGACATGCGCGCGTCGATATGAAACGTCATCAATCATAGAGCTTCATGATTGGATAATTATGCTCTATGCCGAGATTAACTATGAGTGGAAATACCACTCACATGTCTACGGCCATACTACGTTGAAAACACCGGTTCTCGTCCGATCACCGAATTTAAGCAACGTCGGGCCCGGTTAGTACTTGGATGGGTGACCGCCTGGGAATACCGGGTGCTGTAGACTTTTTACATTTTTCTCTCAAATGGATTGATGTTTACTTATTGTTCGTTAAAGATGTTTTTCTTTTTCTTTCTTTTTTTTTTCTCTTAACAGTTTCATTATGTACGGTATTTTGGCACGTTATAATCGTCAACTTTTCACTAAAAAAAAAGGACCTGGGCCTTGCACTGAGCAGTAGGGCTACTACTAGTGTATGGTATAGCCTTCTAATACAGTGTTCGGGTGGTGTCTTAACAAATGTAATAAAAACATATGCGATATTCTAGCCTATTTATTGGGGCGGATGCACGATTTGGCGGTAGGAGTGCGTGAGAGTCCACAAGACCTCAGATGCATACATTTTAAATGTTGATTCTACATTGAAATAAAAATTATGTTTAGGGTTAACGTTTGAAAAATGTTAAATAAATATTGTAATTGTTTGTTAAAATCTCAACCAGATTTCAAAGTGAATTCAATGTTGAAATAAAGTTATATAAAAAACTATATTTTAACTTCACATTGAAAAAACATTGAACTTATGTTGATACTGTAACTTTAAAATCTCAATATATTTGCAACGTGTATTTAACATTGAAAAAACGTTCAATACACAATAGGAGTTTGGTTGAAAAACGTAACACATTTTCAACGTTGATTCTACATTGAAATGCAAACTATATTTTAACTTGATGTTGAANACGTAGTTAATGTAACATTAAAATCTCAACATATTTTCAACGTTCATTTAACGTAGAAAAAATGTTGAAAAAGCAATAGGTTTTTGGTTGAAAAACGTAACACATTTTCAACGTTGATTCTACATTTAAATGCAAACTATATATTAACTTGACGTTTAAAAGATGTTGAATACATGTTGGTACTGTAATTGTTAAATTATCAACCAAATTTTAACATTAATTCAACGTTGAATTAATGTTAAATTATCAACCGAGACTTGGGTTAAATACACAACATATTTCCAACGTTGATTCAATGTTGAGTATATGTTGTGAACATGATTTCAACGTTTCAACTACATTTCAATGTTGCTTCAACGTTGAATTAACGTTTTGTGCCTGCTGGGAGACGACTGATTATTTAAATCATGGCCACATTACCGTAAGTTATCGTATCAACACCATATTACGCTATAAATGTTGTATCAAACGATGGTATGGCTTCATCACGTTTCCTTTTTTTTTTTTTTTTTTTTTTTTTGCAATAAAGAAACATTTCCAGGTGAGAGGTTTTTAGTTATTCTTAATATATTATATTATATAATAAAAAACAATTTTCAATATTAATCAAACCTAATCTCTTTCTCAATTAAAATAGATATTGCAATTACATTTGAATTACAAGCTGGCACTGCAACATGCACTGCAAAGGGTCATCCCAACCCGTCTTCTTTAATGATACAAAAAGATGGGGAAAAGAATGAAAAGGGGGAACTTACGGCATCTGTGAAAATTAATGAAGATTTTTGTAAAACAAACTTCACGTGTTATGCTGAGAACGGTGAGGTTAATACAACAGAACCATTGAAGACATGTAACATAGGTAATTTTTGTTCGGCTACAAAAGGCTTTGAGATTTGTGTTTAGTATTTTGTAGATATACTTAAAGCAATATGAACTACGTCGTTATTTCCTACACTACCAATAGATATTTAGACTTCGGTGGCAGACGAACTTGACAATGTTTCCTGCCGATGTACTCTACAACAAAATTCATATTAGAGAATTTATGCTGATTATGCTATCAATTGTATTTCAAATGATATCTTGTTTCATGTTAGGCCTACCTGAATTAACTATAACAATTTAAAAAATATTGAATGAGTAAAAGTTTTAAATTATTTGTGTATCAAATTTAAACCTATAGGTGTTATTTAACATTATTTTGAAATTTTTTTCTAGTTTTATTCATTTCAAGAGTTTTCGACTTTCCAGATTAGTAGATATGCTAACCTATTTATTAAAACATAGACATTCAGGTTTAACATACTAGTACTGTCGTTGCTATTATAATTACAGGGGCGGATCCAGTTTTGACATTAAATTGGTAAAATTTCAATATATATCAGTGTTATGTGTTACTCACTTACCTATTCTAAAAACTGTTTCCCC